CCCATTGAACTTTTCGAGTTTCTCCCCATAAGACACATGAGTAGGAATAGATATAGACATCACATGTACAACATGATTTATAGTGACAGGAATATTGTTATCATTTTCAACTATTTCTAATAAACACAGATTATAAACTATTCAAAATAGGAAAACAGTAACACTTTTCAAAAACAAGTTATTAAAACAGAGGCAATTTATGTTACTGTTCAGTGTCACTGTTTTGAAGTTACTGTTTTAATGTTTCTGTATGATGTCATTGCTTGGTGTAATTGTTTAACTTAGAGTCACTGTTTGAATTAAACACCAAAACAAAACACGTAATTTTTTCACAAAATTTTCAAGTCTCTTAAAAATATCACAAATTGTCAAAAGACAAATTTTAACAATTCGTAATATTTTATAACAGTCTAAAATTAAAAAATGTATCAGAAACATAACAATCAACTATACAAATTCGAAAATCTGTCTTAAGATTATTAGTTATTGTGTTTCAAATATGGTAAAATCACTTATTAAAATTTTTGATTTGAACCATATAAAGTATAACAAAACAGTAACAATCAAGTGCAAAACAGTTACACAAAAACAGTCTTACACAAAAGAGTTACATGAAAGAGTTACACAACAAAATTACACGTAAGAATTACGCTTTACTTTTTGCCAAACTAATCTAAATATTAATCTGTTTGCATAATAGAATTTGAAGTTTATCAAGGCTAGTGGTTCACACTATGTCCTAAAGACAGATTTCGCCCCTACACACGGTGCTTATGAAATATCGAGTATCTGCCTCTTAGGATACAATGATCTTTATATGAGTAGAAGTAACACTCCAATCTACTCGTCCAGCGAAACAAAAATTGTGTTGTGTACTCTTCAACACACTGCATTAATGCCAAAATGCTATGTTCTCATGTTTGGCTTAATACCGAAGGTGGACCGATTAATGAATGAATGCATGAATTGGATATTTATAGACATTCTGGTGACTATTTAGATAGCCACCATACTAAGAGTCATAACCCAACAACAGCCAGAAGACACATTAAGTAACTATTCTCCATGAACAGGCACAACTTAAAAATTTCGGACTAGACTCAAAATTTCGAATTGGAGGGAAGCACAAATCCGAACCAGTGCGATTCAAAGAATACCAAAAATTAAATTTCGGGTTGAAAATTCTCATTCAATTAATTAAACGAATTTTTTTCAAAAAGATAGGGTTTGATCCAATCCCGTACCCGAGCCCGACCCGGCCCAAACAAGTCGGGTTGTGGCATGTGTGGGCAAGCAACGCGCGCGCGCATGTGTGGTCAAACCGAAAGCATAGCACTCGCTTCGCTCATAAAATTGTGGTACCCTTTGGGGTCCAATCCCATAGAGCAAACTTGACCTATATATGTTTATGTTGAATTTCTTCCTCAACTAATGTGAGATTGGTGTCAAACCCCATATTGCATAAATTTTATTTTCAAATTTCAAGAGGGTCACTTTGGAACCTATTTTCTTATTTATTTTTTACTCGATTTGAACAAGTGAATATACTATGTTATTCTCCTCATGGAGTAGAATATGAACTCACAAAATTTTACGCCAAATAATGAATGAATCTCACTTTAATTTAGACTCAAAGTTGACCAAAAATTCAATTTTTACATTTAAAAAATTGTTTTGGTTTAACAAAATACAGTAATGTACGCTAACCAAATTTTGGGACCAAATTAAGAGTCCAAATGATATGACAGCATATTATTTGAAGTCTTTATTGAGACGCAAATGACATGACACCAAATAAATAAGTTTAAGTTAGTTTTCATGTCATTTAGATTTTTAATTAGGTCATAAATTTGGTCAGTGTAATATTACTGAACAAAATATTCCTCAAAGTTTATGTACAATGTTCCTATAGATACGAAATATATACTTCTTCGCTAACTGTCTTTTTTTTTTCCTGTTCAACAGAGGTATTTAGATTAATTTATATGTATTTTGATTAGTTACTTCTCTAGTCCAGTTAAAGATAGATTATTTATGTCAAAATTAAAGTATATATAATAGATAAATTTCTTATAACTTGAACCAAAAAAATTATCAATATTTAAATTTATGACATTTAAATTTACGGTTCATTTCTTTTTCCCTATTACCACCGCCGGAGCTCCCCTTCAACTTTCTTCCCAGACTGCCACGTAGTAAACATCACACGTAAAAAACATTACATTTTCATATGTTTGCAAGAGTTTTATGACGGTTTGTCATTAGCTACGTGGCACGCACTAAAGCATGGAATATTTTTCTCCTAAAGACCATTGATGTCAGGAAAGAAGGAAAAGCTACAATGCTTTATTCCCACACCCCGAAATAAGGATAAACACATATATCTCTGTGCATAAAGAGGAGTGAGAGAGAACCAATATTTTTAATCTGAATTGACTAAAAGTTCATGCAAATGCATAACAAGACTTTGACTTTGATTAAGAAATGACAGATATCTTCAAGCATCAAGCGACAACAACAAAGGTTAAACATCTTACTTATGGCTTGTAAATCCTTCTTAAAGCTAAGATTTGGACGAGGAAACGTGAACGTGAAACTTAGATTATTTGTAAATTCAAACGTTTTGAGTTTAACTTTTGACAATTTCTTGAGATTACGTCATAAAAGATAAATCTTTTATGAATATTCTAGTTTTGGTGTGAATGACCTGTTTTTGACTATATTAAAGAGGAAAATAGTCAAAATACGTATAAGTTGTTCCAAATACTCCTGACAATTGAAACAGAAAACAAAAAGTACGTGAAACAACTCAGACCATTATAAAATAATATGTTTTAAATAAATTCATGGCCTACACAGGGTGTTAGTACTTAATAATGCTTCCCAAATAGGAAAGGGAGCCGTATTAAACTATCATTATTGAAGCACTGCTTTGCTATTTTGGATTCATCATTCATTAATAAATAGTTTGAAGGCACAGGGGATCAAAGAAGAAGAACCAACCAAATGGGCAACCTCCATTTTCCCCACAGATCACATGGTTTGTAGCAACAAAATGACTTTGTCTCGCACTTTTGGAGATCTGGAAATCAGGATAAGAGGTGATAACATTATGTTTTCACAACATAATATATATCAGTCTATCTCTCTCTCTCTCTCTCTGTAAGAGGGATAGTTGTCTAGTCTCTCGTATTATAAGATTATTATCTTTTAGACTAGGCAGCTTGTTTGATTGAGTATCTCTTCAGTAACTATATCTCAAGAAGCAATAAAGAATAATGTCGTAAACTATATTATGTATTGAAACTTTTAACCCTTGAAAACATTTTTACTGACTAAAAAAAAAAAAAAATGTGTTTTGGTGGCAAGCATTGATTAAGCCCCTAGCATGCAGGAGAGGATAAACATTAATATAAAGTTGAGAAAACTTGACAAGATGGAACAAGAGGAAAGGAATAAACTAAAGATAAAGAAGAACACTTAGGGTGGTTTTGGGATGCCATCGTTTGACATAAGCTTAGATTCTCTCGAAAAATAATGCTGCTTTTGTCCCTGATCACTCATAAATGTATATCTAGAAATTTAGACCATTAGGGTTTAAGACTAATCCACAGTGATTGGTTCATGGAGTTGAAACCTTTTAGCCCATCGTTTCATGTCGCTGGTTTGGCAAGCCAGTGGGACCTTATGAGAGAAAACACACGGGTAGCCACTAACTACTCTTAGAAGTATTTCTCTTATTACAATATCATTGAACTCATATGGAAGGAGGGGAAGAGGAAGGGGTAGGGGTGGGGGTGGGGTGGGGTGGGGAGTGATTTTTATTGCTCTTCCTTTTTTCAACTTTCTATTTGTTTTGTGTAGGAAGGAGATGGAGATTGGGAAGGGAGGGTGTGGTGACATGAGACCAGGCAATGTGGGGAACACATTCATGCAAAAGTTGAAAAAAAAATACTGTACATAGGAAAATAGGTTGTATAAGTGTGTTTTCTTGCTTTGAATGGGTTTATAATTACTATGTTTTCCAATAAAAACTGTTTTAATAGGACGGTGGACCACGCTGAATTGGAAAATAGCTGGGTTGTCTAGATAGTGCTTGACTATGGACACACACACACACATATTTATACATATCTCTGTATATCTATGTACACATAAAAATGTTATTTAAGATCTAATTTGGTGATAAAATAAATTATAAAATAATCATAGGATAAGAAGTACATATGTTCTAGTACTGAATGAAGTTTATGATTAATCTAATCAATAATTATAATGCATTAGATCACAAAATTTGGTGTACCAACAACATTATTGATGATATATATAAATTGTATTTGTCTTGTAACTTGATGTTGAAAGATATTGGAGCCTGGAACGGTTGGTCCAGCTACAAGTGCAACTAAAAAAGTGGGGTGTCATGTCTGATGTCTCCTTTCAATTGGCCCACATGAAGAGAATTTGCATAATTGTATACATCTTTGTTTAACTATCCGTTTGTGCTCCCCCCCCCCCCCCCCCCCCCCTCACCCCTCCTCTTGTGATATTCTTTCTCATGAAAGGGAGTTTGACGACCATTGGCGCAGCTTCCAATGTGCCCCAGGCCCACCACCCTCTTGAAATTGGATCGAGAGATATCAATGATGCCTCACACGGCTACACATTAAGTGTAATCTGTTTAGTAAAAAAATTATACCAAACGATCCACAGCCAGAGAGACGGAGACGGGTTTCAAGCAAGGGATGTGATTAAGGAGTGGCGGAAGGGGTACTTGTTTGGGACGGTGTTTGGAGGGGAGTGAGTGGGGGTGGTGGCGTGACTGGGAGAGTTGTAGAGCAAGAGAGAATGTCATGTGGCTTATACCTGTCTCTTCGGGATCTCACATTACAAGGTGACACAAACGCAGCTTAAAGAGAGTGATAGACGTCTCCAACTAAATTTAATGATGCCCATTACAATATTACACAACATTCAATGAAGACCCCATCAAGCTGACCATATTTCTGAGATGCAACTCCTAACTACCAATTTCTTCCAGCTATATAACTTAAAGAAGCTTTTGCGATTACTTTCATTGAATGTTTGTAACTTACACTAATACAACATGGCATTGTATTATGATATAGTAATACAACCCCACCATGGAAGCAACACATACAGGCTGGTTAAGCGATTGAACAAAGGCACGGGTTCGTGTCTTAAGTTCAAGTCTTTTCGACCACATAAAACCTCTTTAACCAATGCCCTTTAGTTTGCAAATGATTGAACGATCTCGATACCTACGAAAAAAAAATTCCTTCTAAGCTCCAACAAACAAACATTGGTGTGAAATTCCAAGTAAACTTCACAAGCATAGGAAGCAGATAGTGACAAAAGTCCAATAAATGTAGAAACTGCAATCTCACTCAAACACCGAGACATCTCCATTCCAACTACATGAAGCAATCACATTAGGCATGACAGGATGGAAAGCAACATCCATGCAAGCTTGTTCATATGCCTTGATTTTTTTCATAAGCTCAGAGGATTTAGAGTTGTAAAAGTAAATGCATCCATCCGAGGAGCCAGAGGCAATTATTTCTCCATCCAGGCTGAAATTGCACTTTATAGGGAACCCAGAAACGCCATGGCTTTCATATCTCCTGTACTTGTCAAGCTTGAAGGGCGGTTTGGAAGAGAAGATTGCAATGTAATTTCCATTTGACTGAGCGACAAAATATGGATCAAAAGGGTGGGTTCTAATGCATGGACAAGTATACGCCTCCACATAAACCTGGGGAGAAACATACAAGCTTTAATGGATCTCATCTGAATACAGGAACCGCATAGACTACTCAAAAATAAAAAGTAAACACGAATAATCAAAACTATAGCCACAAAAATATACAAAGCAGAAGTCAGAAGTATAAATAGGGACACCCAATGTATGAGCCTTCCGTCACTACAGAGTCAACAGAGAGTTAGATATAAACAACCTTACTCCTGCATACAAACATACTATTTCCGTGAGTTAGACCAGTGACGCACAGATCACAATGAAGCAGTCAAGACCCACTTTCAAGTCAGGCATACATAAACAGTTTACCCAAAAAAAACCATGGCCAATACATGTCATTGAGCACATTTCCAAATCCAGGCCAACCTCCTAAGGATTGCAGACATGCCATGCCAAATATATAGATATAATTTCAGTTCAATTAAAGACTGATTCTAACCTGCATGGGCATTTGTATATCAACTAAGCCAAACAGTCTTCATCTACTGCAGTTAAACTGGTGCCCAACAAGAAAAGAGGGAATAGAAAAAGAAAATAAAAAGTAAAACAGAAAAAACAAAGAAAGAAAAGCCAAAATAAGGAGGCAATTCTTAGACACACTGAATGTCTGCCATTCTTTGCTCTTCGACAGCCCTAACAAGTCACTCGAAGCTCTGCCCTTTGCCCCGTGCTGTCTTCCTCCAGTTGCCCCCACCCAATGGCCGAAAAACGTTGCAGTCAATTGCCTTTCCCGTTTTCATCAAACAAAAGACTACCATTTGTAAGGGGTAGAACCCTCCACTCAGGATTTCGGCTTGACCTGGGTTAACCCACGCGGGCGACCCCCCAGTAGCCTTTACCTCTCTTCGCTAATAGGACCCTTTCCTAAGGCAATCCCACATCGGAAGAGAGTCGTCTTCCCCCCTCGCATATAAGCCCTTGCACTCAAAGGAAGAGGTACCCACTAGCGACCTGATCAGGTGCCTAGTGGGTACCTCCTCCTTTGAGTGCAAGGGCTTATATGCGAGGGGGGAAGACGACTCTCTTCCGATGTGGGATTGCCTTAGGAAAGGGTCCTATTGGCGAAGAGAGGTAAAGGCTACTAGGGGGTCGCCCGCGTGGGTTAACCCAGGTCAAGCCGAAATCCTGAGTGGAGGGTTCTACCCCTTACAAAAAGGCGCCTTTTTGTAAGGGGTAGAAATCGCTACGGATCTCATCCCTCCACTTGAAGGATTTCGGCTTGACCTGGGTTAACCCACGCGGGCGACCCCCCAGTAGCCTTTACCTCTCTTCGCCAATAGGACCCTTTCCTAAGGCAATCCCACATCGGAAGAGAGTCGTCTTCCCCCCTCGCATATAAGCCCTTGCACTCAAAGGAGGAGGTACCCACTAGGCACCTGATCAGGTCGCTAGTGGGTACCTCCTCCTTTGAGTGCAAGGGCTTATATGCGAGGGGGGAAGACGACTCTCTTCCGATGTGGGATTGCCTTAGGAAAGGGTCCTATTGGCGAAGAGAGGTAAAGGCTACTGGGGGGTCGCCCGCGTGGGTCCATAGAACTCACTATTAGAGTGGATCATCATAATGATGAAATCAAATCACCGAAATGTGAACCATTTTGAGCTTCTTCAGAGCCATTTTTAAAATACCATTTCTCATGAGAAGTAAAATCACGCCGGTAGATAAGAATTGCCCATAAAAGGAAGAATCTGTTGGGAAACATAAAATCTACGATTCACAAGTCCATCTGTTAACTCCATTGCACAAGTAGACAAGCAACTGGTGTCGAAAAAGAAGCCGCATCTATAGTATTCTTCTTAAACAACAAAGGGAAATGGTTGATGTATATTTACCTGATTAGATAGTGGAACTTGCCGCAAGACATCCCAAACAATGATTGAATTTTCGCTGATATTGCCTTTGGATTCATCACAGGAAGAAATAAATTGCTTTGCATCAGTGGTGAATTCTACATCAAGGATTGGACCAAGACCTCGTCTATATTCATGGACCACCTTCCCAATTCTAATGTCCCATAATTTAATGAGGCCCTTTGAACCACCAGAAAGAAATAGGTCGGAGTTGTTTGGATGAAATTTTACGACTCCAACAACCTGATCCTCCTTGAAAACCTGAGCCTCTAATCCCTTTTCAACATCAATTAACCTTGATGAGCAGTCATACCCACAAGAGAGCAAGAACAGTCCATGCTGTGACCACTTCACATCTTTCACAGCTGCATTATGATGGTTAAAGACGCGAGCTTTCTTATGATCTCTGCTCCACACATTCCATATGCAGATGCTATGATCCATTCCCGCAGACGCAAGCAGATGAGCTGAAGACTAACTTTATTGAACAGATCAGAAAAGAACGGAGCTGTAGACCAACTTTATTGAACAGAACAGGAACGCACCCATGATGTATAGTAAGCAAAACAAATCATGTCTTATAGATAATTTAAATTAATTTACATAACACCAAGCAACTTGAATCTAACAATAAGATAAACTGACAAGCATGGAACCGAACTTGAACACAGCGGCTCCGATGCTGTACTACCAAGAGATAAATTACCAAGAAACTATTAGAATTAGATTGGGTGATTAAAGCATTCATAGTTCCTAATACAGCACTGCTTCGAGTATTTTACGAATATAAGCTTCTTAAGTTTACAAAACTAAATCCTCACATTAGCAATTTGATGAAAAAATTTATGGCTTTTTTTTCATTCTTTCCTTTACTTAAACGAAATGGCAAATTTAGTCTTCAACTGATATTCTTTTAATTTGGCCAGCCTCTTGTTTCTCCTTCACTTAGACTTCCTCTTTCATTCTTACTGATGCTCCCACCCAGTGCACGCCCTAAGTCTCCTGATGGCAGATTTGCTTATTTGTCCCCCCATCTTGCTTAGCAGGTATCCACTGTCCACCAAGAAAGGAGAAAGACCTGTTATAGGACTTGGTGCAGCCACCTAAATCACATTAATAAAACGTTTTTTGCCACCTGTGCCACAAATGGCTTACCATCTTAGTTGCAAATCTAGAAATTGCCCAAGACTAAGTGGTTTAAATTTTAAAACTGATTTCACAGGTCTAATCTTGCCTTCAGTTTTGTCACAATAATAACAATAAATGCATAACAGGCTACCCAAGATCAACTAGGGGAAAGTAACTTTTACCCTACCATTAGACATATTCTCCAGTATAAATAGAATAAGGGTAGCAATTCTCTTCCTGTCATTGTGTGACATGTAAGCCAAACAATGCAATTGCATGTGTCTATGCATGACCTTTCAGCATGAGAAACCCCCATTGATGCTTATCCCTCATTCAAGAAATAAAGAAGAGATATTCAAGTAGATCGCCAGCAGAAAAATGAGACTTATATCTAACCTAATGAGACCATGTCAATAATGACAACTAACTACTGAACTTCCCAGACACTGGATAACAGGTTGAGACAAATATATATGACATGCTATCCATAGTTTCGCCAAAAAATCTAACAGTAATAACCTCATTAACCATGTCAAAGGCACAACTAAAAGGGAAAAAAAGAAGGAGAAGGACCAACATAATTGTCATTGTTAAGATAGATTCCTCACCGTGACTGCTTGACCATTTTAAAGAAGTGACGGCATTTTTGTGGCAATTAAGAGTTGTATACAGTTTTTCAGACATCTGGCCAAGCCATGGACGGCCCTTTGTTTGATGCCTCAATGATGACAGAATATCATATGGTAGATCTGAATATGAAATACTTCCCACGACTGAGAGCAAAAAATTCCTCAAGTTAGAAGGTAACATAATGGCTTGAATGAACTTCATGAATAAATTTGGACTGAGAATTTTTTCCAGTGTCAAATTAAATAAGTCTCAGAAGTAAACTAGACGGCATATATGGAGAGGGATGGGCAAGGGCTGTCTGGGACAAAACAACTCCAGCCATGGATCAGATTTTCTGGCCCACCCCTAAATAATAAGGTTCTGAGCCAGGTAACTGGGCCACTTGGTGGCCTGCATCGGTCCATGCACAGTAGAATATAAAATATAATCGTTTATAACATGAGTACATTTTTCATTATTCAAAGGGCCAAGGACTGAACTAATTGGTCTGTAACAGATTGCAACAGGAAAATGGAAGAAAAAAAAGAGCATATCTCTCAGCTCCCTCATTTAAACAGGTAAAAGACAAGACAATGGATGTCTGGGCTGTAGAGGTTTGTGTTTTTTCATGCTGCCAACTTTTTGTCCTCATTTTTGTTGCCTCCTTTGGAACTCCTATGAACGTGATTCGTTTTTTGTCCAACATTTTCAACTTTCCAATGATCCAATCTATAAATGATAGAAATTGGGAATCTGAACTACAAGCCTGCAATCACTCACCTATTCCAAACTAATAGATTTAAATAAACAACGAGCCTAACTCAGTCAAATTTTAGCCTTTCCAAGACCCCAGCATAAACATTGCGTAACATTGTGAAGCAAATAAGCACATTTTCTTGTGTAATGGACTATAATCCATGGGCCCCCTTCTACTCCCACAACACCGTTTTCCTCCATGAAAAACTACTAAATTAGAGCCCAAAAAATTGAACTTTTCTCAAACTAGGACCATAAAAGGAATAAAATTGACGGATTCTTATAACTTTCTCAGCAACCAAACAAGGATTCACCACCAATTAGCAAAAAAATCGACAAGAACAATAACAAAGCAGATTATAGAACATGAGATAGAGTAAAGAACCAGGTGATGTGGTGACTGGAATTGGCGGGATAAGGTTTGGAGTCGTCGGAACCGAAGCCAAGACTGCTCGCTCTCTCTTCGATATGTACCTGCCGGGAAGAGGAGCTTCGGTGGGGAGATTCGGGTTGTGGGTCGAACGACATAAGGGCAAAGGCTTCGTGATTGGAAGAGGGTTCTGGGGTTTCGGTCGCTTCGACGGAGGCAATACGGGTCTTCCATGATCGGGTTCATCGTCTTCGTCTGAAGCAGCAGAGTACGCGTTGCAGAGAAGATCCATGGCCGACTCAAGTTTCAGAATTCTGACAATTTTAGTAATTCTTAAGGTTTTGGGTAAATTATATTCGGACATCTGATATTCAAATTTATTACACGGACACCACTTTATATTTTAAAAATTATACTGAGACCTCAATAAAGAGACGTCATTAACAAAAAGACTATCTTACCCTTCTTATTCTCTCTGTGAGAACCCCTAACACCAAGCGGCGCAGCGCCCACTACCCCACACTTTCCTAGCTGTTACCAATATCCACTACCAACGTCATTGGAAATCAAAATGCAAACGCGAATCCAACAACCAACACCATAGAGACCTACCCACAACCAATACCTTTGCCTCTCCCTATTCGAAATCCATCGTGGATCCAATTCTACACACAATAGGTTCTCCTTTAGATCCAAAATCGAATCACCACCTACACACAACAGATCTGGGATAAAATCCCAAAACTAATTCCTTGTTTGAACAAATTGAGGATTGATTGATAATCTAAAACTTGGATTGGGAGGGCTTGATGTAGGTTTAGCTAGGGGGTCTGGGTAGTGGGTTGCGATGCGGTTGACGAACAAGCATCGTTTGAGAGAAAAATAGAGATGGTTTGGTGGTGGATGGTGGCTGGGTGGTTTCCGAAACCCACTGCAGTGATGGCGGTGGTGTTGGATTTATTGATTAAATTCTTAATCATAATTAACTATCAAAATTAATTAATAATTAGCCAATTTATCTCGTAAATAGATCTAGTGCTATAAATAATTAATTTGGGGGATATATAGGAAATAAAAATTCAAACACTGTGTTTTTTCTTGAATAGATATTAAAAATGGTAAATTATATCCAAACCCTCGAGACTTGACATTAATACCCACATACCCTATTATAAAAAGGTGTATGCGAGGAGATATTGAATGAAATCGTAATTATAAAAAGATAGAAGGTGGACTTATAATTAAAATGGTGTATATAGTGTGAAGTGGATTTAGTTAAAATGAAAAATGGTGGGATAATAAAATTTTGGAGAATTATCATTGACACCCCCTCCTATTATTTGAAGCATCATTGACATTTTCTGTCATATTAATGACGTTCACTAGAATGTAATTTTATTAAATTGATCCTCATATATTTTAGAAAAAAAAAAATTTCACACTCTCTCAAGTTAGATATATTTTCAACGAGGGCATTCCATTTTTTTTAATTTTTTTACTTGTTAAAATTCAAGCCGAATAAAATTTGATTAGAGCTAAATAAATTTCAGTTTTTATGTAGTAAAAATCGAGTCGATTAAAAAATATATTTTAATATGTAAAAAATATAATACTACTTTTAATCTACTCAAATTTTAACACGTAAGAAAATATATTTTAATAAACTCGAATTTTAATACATAAAAAATAGATTTTAATCAACTCAGATTAAATTTTAACTGGGATGAATTTTGACACATAAAAAAATTTAAATTTTAATTGATTCAAATTTTAATACGTCAAAAAAATTTAATCAGTTTGAATTAAATTTTAATTAACCCAAATTTTAATATGTTAAAAAATATAAATTTTAATCGACTCAAATTGAATTTTAATATGTAAAAAAAATAAGTTGAATAGGCTTGAATTTTAATACAAAAAAAATAAAACTAATCAACTCGAATTGAATTTTAATATGTGAAAAAATAAATTTTAATTAACTTAAATTTTAATATGTAAAAAAATAAATTTTAATCAGTTCGAATTTTAATCAAAGTTTGTATAAAAAGATTATTTGAGGTTTATGTAAGGATAACTTTAATATTTTAAATAATTTTTTTTTTGTTAAAAACAATGGTTTAACGGTAAAAATGTCGATGATATTTAAATATAAACTGAAAAAAAGTGTTAGCGCTGTTTTAAATAAAAAAAAAAGATATGTTAAATAAAAAAGATATGCTCTCTAAAGTGGTATGTATATTTATCCCATAAATTTTAATGAGTTGATAATAGACATTTGTGGGGGAAATAACCCGAAGCTTCCATTTATGGTAATGTACTGTGTTGCAGTGCTATAAATATGTGGCCTCCTTGTTGAAAAGGCGAATAAGTTTTATATAATGGCCGAAGACGGCAGACCCAGTGTCACCGCCGCCATTGACATGGTTCTTGCTGAAAATAAGTGGCGCTGGTCGGCGTCAGGTGACCATGCCAGTGGAGAAACACAGAGATCAAGTTCGTCGTTTTTCGGATATGTCGGCAGTTATTGAGAATATTAAGAATCGATTCAAGAAGATGGCGGTCATTGACAAACATGGCGGTTACTGTCGAAGGACCTTCCAAGCCTGTGACCGAAACCCAGAGATTGTTTTCAAGTCAGACAACGCCGCCGCTGCCATCACCACCATCACCCTGCCGCCGCCTATCGATCCGATCTCATGCAACAGTGTGTTTTTTATCTAATCACGCGGGGACAACGCCGTCACCACAAGAGCGTCTATCAACTCAATCAGATGCAAAGAGGCAGTTCACGGTTGCGTACACTCTACAATAGAATGGAGTAACAGAGCGGGTGAACAAAACCTTATTAGAATGAACAAAAGTAACGTTGAGAACTGCGGGAATAATCAAGTCATTTTGGACAGCAGCAATCAAGACCGCATGTTATGTGATCAATCGGACACCGTCAACCACAGTTGATCTGAAGTCACCAATGAAGATGTGGACCGGTAAACTAGCTGGTTATTGTAAGTCCTGTATATACTACGCCAAAAAAACATCAAAGTTGAATTCAAAATCTAGAAAATATATTGTCTGTTTGATTTGCATCTCAAAAAATAGTATTTGAAAATTATTTTTAAAAAGAGTTTTAATAAAAATTTTTTAAAATTTTTAAATTACAAAACCTGTTTGGTTGTATATTTTTAAAAATAATTTAAAAAATAAAAAATAAAAAATTTGTTTTAATAATAATCAACAATTTTCGCCCTCTTTTCAACTCTCTGTCTCTCCCTTTTTCATTATGTATCACCCAACACCCACAACCGAGAACCACTATCAACCCAACACCCACAAACACCATCCACAACCACCATCAACCCACAACACATAACCACCACCAACCCAAACCAAGAACCACCCAATACCCACAACCAGCACCATTAGCCAACAAATCGTGCCAAAAATAAAAAATCAAAATCAAACCAAGCAGACCCAAAAAATGGGATCATTTATTGCTGCATATCTGTTAGCCAGAGTTGTGTTGCAGCAGATCTGTTGTAGTATTGAAGGGATAATAGAAAAATCAAAACAAAAATAAATCCAAAAAAAATTGTGCCAAAAACGTAAAAAAAAAATCAGATCTATGGCTTACTTGAGTAGGAGAAGACGATCTACAGTCGCCGGAGAATATCCTTTCAGCAAAGAAGACAAAGTTACCAAAGAGTGTAGTCGTTCGGGTTTTGTCGAAGTAGAAAGAGAGAGAGGCCAAAAAAAAAGAAACAACAGGCAAAAAAATACCAGGAGGATCTTATTTGCTGCTAACAAGGTTCGAAGGATAGACCTCTTTAATGAGCAAAATTTTTCTCCGCGTTTTCAAAATTTTTAAAGGAAACTCCGAAAACAAGTTTAACTTGTTTTTATTTTTTGCTCAAATTCTCATTTTTTCTTAAAATTTTGAGAATAAATATATTAAACAAACAAGTTTTAGATGTTTTGAAATTTTGAGAATAAAAAACAGTTTTCGAAACACAAACCAAACACCCCAGTATTTTCTTAGGGTATGTTGATGGAGTCAAGGTGTACCGCCTATGGGATCTCACTGCCCACAAGGTGATAATTAGCAGAAACGTGATATTTATTGAAGATAAAGTACAAGAAAAAGAAAATGACAGCACTACAAAAGAGAAACTAGAGACTACTACAGTTCAAATTGAAGAACAAGAAGTTCCAGATTCTTTTGAAGCAACACTAGAGCACGAAGAACAAGAACAAGAACAAGCTGAGTTTGCAACTCTACAAGTTTGACGGTCAATTCGGGAGAGGAGAGAACCAGCTTGGCACTCAAAATACACTATCGAGAAAAATGTTGCATACTGTCTACTAATAGAGGATGGAGAGCCATCAACTTTCCATGAGATTACAAAAAGCCAAGAAGCTTCCTTGTAGATGGTAGCAATGCAAGAAGAAATTGAAGCTCTCCATAAAAACAAGACATAAGATCTTGTTCCACTACCACATGGAAGGAAGGCCATCAGGAACAAATGGGTTTACAAGATCAAACAAGATGACAATGACCAAGTGGAGCGGTATCGTGCTAGATTGGTGGTGAAAGAATTCGCTCAGAAAGAAGGCATTGACTTCAACGAGATATTCTCTCCTGTTGTTCGAATTACAATAGTTCGAGTAGTTATGACGCTATGTGCTACATTTGACTTATGCTTAGAGCAATTGAATGTGAAAACTATATTTCTTCATGGAGAACTTGAAGAAGAAATCTACATGCTGCAACCAGGAGGTTTTGAAACAAATCTATGTACGGTCTCAAACAGGCACCAAGGTGTTGGTATAAGATATTTGATTCTTCATCATGAGCCTTGGATTCAACAAACTTAGTTCAAATACTTGTGCTTACTACAAGAGATTTGGTGATGGTGATTTCATTATTTTGCTTTTGTATGTTGACGACATGTTGGTAGCAGGCCCCAACAAAGATTGTATCAAAGACTTAAAGGCACAATTGACTAGGGAGTTTGAAATGAAGGACTTGGGACCAACAAACAAGATTCTAGGGATGAAAATTTACCAAGACAGACATAATAGGAAGATTTGACTTTCTCAGAAGAACAATTTGAAGAAAATCTTGCAACGCTTTAACATGCAAGATTGTAAGCCAATTTCTACCCCTTTTTTTATTAATTTCATGTTATCCTCAAGTATGAGTCCTAGTAGTGAAGCAGAGGGGATGGAAATGGCTTAAGTACCATATGTATCAGCAGTGGGTAACTTAATGTTCGCTATGGTTTGCATAAGACCAGACATTGCACAAACAGTGGGAGCAGTTAGTCTATACATGTTGAATCTTGGTAATTAAAGAGCATTGGAACACTGTAAAGAGGATCTTGAGATATGTCAAGGGTACTTCAAATGTTGCATTATGTTATGGAGGATCAAACTTTACTGTCAGAGGATATGTTGATTCAGATTATGCAGGTTTTCTTAACAAGAGCAAGTCCACTACAGGTTATGTGTTTACTCTTGCTGGAGGAGCTATAAGCTGGGTTTCGAAAGTGCAGTCTATCATGGCCACTTCAACGATGGAAGCAGAATATATTGTAGCTACACAAGCTAGCAAAGAGGCAATCTAGTTGCAAATACTATTAGAGGAGCTCGGACACAAACAAGAGAAGATTGCTCTGTTTTGCAATAGTCAGAGCACTTTGCACTTAGCAAAGAATCCAGCATTTCACTCGAAGACAAAGCACATACGAGTTCAATATCACTTCATTCATGAGAAGGTGGAAGAGGGAAGTGTGGACTTGTAGAAAATTCATACTAAAGACAACCTATCAGATGTTCTAACAAAGCCAATCAACAATGACAAGTTCACGTGGTGTCGATCCTCTATTGGCCGAGCAGAAATATAAGCGACATGGAAATGACAAGTAGAAAGGATAGAAGGATTGCAAAAGTGACTTTAAGTGGGAGAAATGTTGTCGATAAAGTCATTTTGGTCAAGGAAGTAACTACTTCTTAAATTAAGTAATTTGGTACATGTATACAATTCAAAAGTCATTAGTAATATTTATGTATAGAGTCTAAGGGTCATTCATTAATCTACTTATTATCTAGGGTTGCGTACTTGGTCTAGGTACATGATAGGAGAGTCTTATAAATTCTAGAAGTGTTTTGAGTCATGAGTTGTATCCCATTTAGAGCAGAAACAAAGAGAAAGAAACAGCGAGAGTGTTAGAGAGAGAGAGAGTGAGGGTTTTTCTAAATACTCATAGTCTTTCCTTTGTTAGAGAGAAGTTATTGTAAATCTTTTGTAATCCTTTTACAAACTGCCGTCACCCTCGCTACGATGTCCCTCAAGGCGAGCAAAGTTAGAATGTAGGGCCTCTAACAATCAAGTGGCTCCAAAATCATCGTTTCGAAGAGGTGGTCATCTAGGTAGATCATCACATGTGGCCAAATTGGAGAGAAAGGCATGCCCTAGGTGCAGTAGATGGTGCTAGTATGAAAGCACAACGTGTTCACTTATTACTTGCCCTAGTTGTGGCAAGAGGTTTGATCCCCAAACTTCATCATCACCACATGTGATTAAGATCTCTCGATCTCCATTTTGGATGCAAAACAATAGGAGATTTTCTCTCTTGGTTCATTGAGAAATCATTGCTTTCCCAAGATGTATATAGTATATACATTCCAGCTAACTGGAGAACGAAGGCTTCATTCCAGTTTTGTGTATATATTTTTTTGCTTCCCTTGGGAAAGAAAGATGGCTAATTCTTAGGGAGTGTAGGAAGCCTCGAATCTGAAATCTCTCATTGCAAGAGGGCACATCAAAACCTCTTCCTTGTGCAGCAATGGAATTTATCAGAGTCATGCCTGCTTTGATTTGCTCTGCTCTGTTCCTAATTGTAGGGGGAAGGTGTTCAGCTGGAAGTGCCTACATTTCCAGGTGAACACTTAAACGTCTCATTTGTTTTTGTGTTGTTTTGAACAGGCTGCAGTTCCTAAGCTGTTGTCTTGTTTAAGGAGCACTAATCATGCTCTCTTACTTTGTCTAGTTCTGATTAATACAAGTTTGTTTATTTTCCGAAAAAACTATTTACTTATGTCGTTTTGATTATGAATCTATGATTACTTGTTTATGGTGATATATAGTTTTGGTTGGGAGGATAGTCCCCTTCTGGATTGCTGTGGATTGGAGTATATATCATTTCATGTGTTTGTGATTGCGCTTCTTATTTCTTTCTCTGTCCAATGAAACAATTTTCAAAAGCAGAAAGTTATAATATGCTGGTGACATCAACCATGCACTGTACACATGTATGTAAACACATGGGAGGTATTTGGTATACCTTGAAACGGAAGTGGTTTACATATAGCTCGGATCTTTTGCTTGTGTTACGAGCCTCCACACCACGATCACGAACGCAAAACTAGTGAACTCAAACCACCAACAGTAACACCTCATGGTCCTCATCACAGTATAGATTACTAGTGTCTCACCAAAGAATATCACGCTCTAAGTTTCAGGGTAGTCAAGATGGTAACCCTGGACGGATCATGTGAGAGAGAGAGGAACAATATGGGAGCAAATACTCATTAAAAACGTATTAATAAGAAGTTTATTAAAAATATGTTGGGCTACAAGGCATATTCTGAAAATGTTCTGAATTTTATGTATCAGCCCGAAAAAATGTTATGCGGAACTATTAT